GCTGTTTGGACTCTTATTCTGACGGCACCCATTCACTGCAGAGCATCCATTGCTGAGCAAGTGATGCAATGCTACATTTCTCCAAATCTGTTCTGATCTACATCTTTGATGGTCTGAGAGAGATTACGTTTTCATTTTTTGGTAGAACTATTCCTTTAACACCAACCTAAATAGAAAGATCTGATTGTTGTGAAATAGCTGTGTTGTTCAAACTGTGTTTCTTTCTCTTTGTAAACAGACCTACGCCAGCACGATTAAGGTAGCGAATGATGAACACAAGATGCACTGGGTTGTGTGTGTGTGTGTGTGTGTGTGCGTTTCCACCGTAACCTTTTACCATCTGTAAATAGTGCTACTTTTTCTAGTGTTTTATGTGTCAAAACGTGTGTAATGTGAAAAATGATGTGTCCACAGAGGTTTGCGTTAACCAAAAAATGACCACCATTTGCAGGACTGTAAAAGCATCACTCAAAACACTTTCCATCACTTTGACACAAAATATACCATAATTGAAACCAGGGTCCGGCACGATTGGCTCGCTAGTTCAGTATTCAGGACACTAAAAATCCCCACAATGCACCGTAAAAACCAGTGAACTAATGTTAAATATCACATAAACATATTAATAACAACAAATGAGTTCATTTGGCATAATGACTTTATTTTATTAAGCTAGAGTCAGTGTTAACATCAGGCGTTTATTTTGTTCATCTCTCACTCATCATTGTATTGCATTGCATTATACTGTATGTTTTAAAACTACAGAGCTTTGACATTATATTTTTATGTAAGTATTCTGTTATATTGTTATAAGGATCTCATTGATTTATATCACAAGAACTTCATGTTTCGGTCATACAAATATCAGAAACCGCACCAAATTTAATGTTTAATGCTTTTCTCTCTTTGAATATGAGCTCCATATTCCACTATTTCATACTATGTGATCCTGATGTATCAAATATGATACTCATCAAAAACACATGCTTATTGCATTTCAAAAAATTAGATTTTTTTTTCATATGTCTGGCTTTACAAGGTCAATTATTAAAAATATGAATACCGACCATATTAAGATTATATGATATACATTTAGGCCTAAATAATAATCCAGGAAATGAAAAACATGACCGATAGAAATAGACGATGATGCTGGAAACTTCAGAGTTTGTTGAGTGGGGGGTGATTATTTGTGAGCGTCTGAAGCTCAGTCAGGGAGTTTCTCATTGACGATGTTTTTTAATTATTCTGTTAACACTGGATCATGCACTTCAGCTGTATATTGCATTTCACTCTCAAGTATAAACATCTGAAGCAAATCTTGCAGCTTATGTTCACTAAAACAGTCAGGAAGTCATTCAAACGTTTAATTTAGTCAAATGTTTTTTTGTCCTTGCACTAACAAATTAGAGATCCCAGAACATTTCTTCTGCAGATGTTTCTCTTTCACAAGCAATTTCTGATCAAGAGAACCACGTACCGTGGCAGTATTTTTCTGTATGTATGGACTAATCAGAAGCTTGTTTGTTGTAAATATCCTTGAGTGATATCTTAGCACTTTCACAATGCAAACGCAGTTGGATGGTGTGACACTCTGTAGCACACTACTGTATGTAGCACTCATGGGTAATTGTACATCACTAAAACTGCTTTTAACATGCTTTATGTCTCTTTTTTTCTTTTCAAGGACATTCTGATGTAGCTTTTACAGTTGCAATGCATTTTAAATGTGTTCATGCTTATAAAAAGCAGGGAGAGAGGGTTTGATCTGAAGGTGTGATGATATTAATGTTGGCGGTTATTTAGGCTGTGTCATACACTTACTTGAAGCTCCAGCAATAAGAACAAACATTTTCAATAAATTATTTCTCAGCATTGTAATGGGTTTTCTGTAGAATTAATTTTTCGGTGGTATGTTACCATTTATCCTTAGAAGCATTTAAAAATAGTGAACAGGGAATCCCATTAGCAACAAAAACAGTCAGATGCAGCAGTAAAGACTGCTGTTAATTTCCAGTTAAACTGATACTCGTACTAAAATGACAATTTAATTGAATCTAAACACACACACACACACACACACACACAAGGTACACCTACATTTCAGCAGCTTTGGTAGATCAAAATTAAGACAAAAAAGTTCAAATTAACTAACTAACTAAATAAAATAAGACATAAGTTGCAATAATGAGATTCACAATTAAGTTTGATTTGATTTTGACAGGCATTTTTGTCATATGAAGTTCTCATCATTTAAATGTATTTTGACTTTTAATAATTCAGATTTAATTATGAATTATGATCTCATAATTAAGTAATTATGCCATAATTATGACTTCTCATCCACAATTTAGACAATTGTAACTTGTCATAACTGACAAATTGTCAATTATGACATAAAAAGGCATAATTAAGTCAATTTCATCTTATTATAATTATGGCTTTTTGTCATAATTTTGACTTAAGATCTTATAATTGTTATTTTTTTATCTAAGAATTTTGACATAATAATTTTTGACAATCGTGACGTCACAATGTTAAGTTTTAAATATCAAAACTACGACTATCATAATTTTGTCATAATTATGCATTTTTATGTCATAGCTGTCAATTTCAACTTGTGTTATAATTATGACTTACCTAATTTTGACATCTCATAATTTCCACTTATTGTCTTAAATTTGACTGACATAATTTCAACATTTTGCCACAATATAGTTTTGACTTATGTCACAATTTAGTTATATTAACTCTATTATTATTATTATTATTATTATTATTATATAGTTATATCAACTATATTAACTACGATTTGGTAGGCTACCATATGTCATAATTTCGATTTATCTCATAATTTACTTTTTTTTTTGTTTCCCCCTCATATGTGGTATAAATGGGCTTCCATATTTTACTGTATGCGTGTTTATGCATGCATGTTTTTTATTATTTAAATATACACAACAAAAAGTACCTGCCATTTTATTAGAGCCGGTTTAGAATGTTTCAACATCCTTTTTGACGATGCTATATTTTCATACCCCACAATGCATCACTAGTGCTTCTGCTGATTCAGTCCACTTTGTCAAATAATTTTATTCAACCTAACTATTTATACAATTGAATAAAAGTCCACTGCAGTGCGTCATTAATCTGCTCAGCGAGTGGCTCGCTCAAGTCTTTCCCGTCAACATTTACGTAATAAAGCATTTCCACCTTAACTAATATTAACTTTGACAAGAAGTCAAGGTAGAATCACAGAGCATAAAAATGTGTCACCAGCAATTGTTTTAATAAGTTTAAATCTTTGAAATGTACAGTTCATCAATGACATTTACAACAATTATTTCCGTTTATATTTGTACGGTTCCTACTGTAGATATACTGGATTGCCATGTGGTTCCTCGAGGGTACAAACATGATAAATAAGAACTTATTAACCTGACATAAAATGGCCACATAACAGTGATTTTCACAGTATCGGACATGCAAGGAGGTGCATGTTCAGAGGATACTGGAGAGGATGGAAAGGAGGACATGCAAAAAAGACACTTTCTCAAAATAAACATTCACAATGAGTGTTTGTCGTCTGAGACATTAGTATTATTATTATTATTCGGTTACCTTGCTCAGCGTAACTGTGACGGTTTCAGCTACACACATAACCTGTCCCAGCCCTTACATGTCTCAGTAATCTGCCATGATGCCTACTGTATGTGTGTGTGCTAATGGCGTACTGGCAGTCATGCTAGTCATTTCCTGACCAGGAATGTATGTTTTAAAGGCATAGTCCACCCAAAATGAAAAACATGTCATCATTCACTCATCCTAATGTTGTTCCAAACCTGTATGCATTGCTTTTTTTTTCTCTGGAGCACAAAAGATATCTTGATAAACAACATTCCCATTGACTTCCATAGTATGGCCAAAAAATACAATGGAAGTCAATGGGACACTTACTAGCATTCTTCAAAATACCTTCTACAGAATGTTGGCATTTATTTCTTTGCTTCTTGGGTCTTTGTGTTTCTTTCTTTGGTTTGAGGTCTGTTTAACTTTCATTGCACGAATAAAAAGTACCATGGAATTTTTGGTCGATGGGACCAAAAATGTTTGTTTACCAACATTCTTCAAAGTATCTTGTATTTGTATGCATCTTGAATGTATCTATAGAATTTTGGAATTCCTTTCTTCTGCGGAACACAAAATACGATATTTTCAGAATTTGTTAACCAAATAGTTTCATTCTTCAAAACAGAAGATTATTTCGAAGAATGTTGGTATCCAAACCGTTTCAGTCCCACTGACTTCCATAGTGTTGACAAAAATACAATGGAAGTCTTTGGGACACAAAACAGTTTGCTTACCAACATTCTTCAAAATATCTTCTACAGAATGTTGGCATTTCTTTGTTCGCTTCTGGGGTCTTTGCATTTCTTTCTTTGGTTCTATGTCCGTTTAACTTTCATAGCACGGATAAAATGTACCATGAAAGTCGATGGAACCCAAAACTCTGGTTACCAACATTCCTCAAAATACCTTCTATATTTTCTTTCGTTTGTGGAACAAATAAGAAGATATTTCGAAGAATTTGGTAACCAAATAGTTTCAGGTTTCACTGATTTTCAAAGCAAAAAATACCATGGAAGTCAAGCCCTAAAATGCTGGTTACCAACATTCGTTACCAACATTCAAGTATCTTTTATGTACAGTATGTATCTTAAATGTATCTATACAATGTTAGAATTCCTTTCTTCTGTGGAGCACAAAAGATATTTTGCAGAATTTGGTAACCAAATAGTTTAATTCTTCAAAAAATAAGTTTATTTTGAAGAATTTTGGTAACCAAACCATTTCGGTCCCACTGACCTCCACAGTATAGACAAAAATACAATGGAAGTCAATGGGACCTGAAACTATTTGGATACTAAACTTCTTCAAGATATCTTCTACAGAACGTTGCCATTTCTTTCTTCTCAGGAACATGAAAGAAGATATTTTAAAGAATGTTGATAACTAAATGGTTCCAAGTGCCATTGGCTTCCACAGTATGGACAAAAATACTATGGAAGTCAACAAGACCCAAAACTGTTTGGCTACCTAAATATCTTCTTTTGTGTTCTTACAGAAGAAAGAAAGCAATAGAGTTCTGGAACCACATGAAGGTGAATAAATAATGACAGCATTTTTTTTTTTTTTTTGGTGAACTATCCTTTTTAAGTTATTGATACTACACTATAATGACGTCACTTCTTTTGATGAGGTCCTGAAATTATAACAATCGTGTTTCCAAGAGCGCCACATACAACGACTGTAGTCCTCGGTATCAAGATATATTACTTCTTCACACATCCATATGACAATAATCATTGATTTTTGTAAATGCAACAGACTAATGATATGGAATTAGCTCTTTCCAGTAGATATGGATCATGGGTGGCACAAGGACCAGGAGGCAAAATATGAAAAGGTCCATGCTGGTCCAGAGGTGCCCTATACAGTACAAACACATTTGATCTCTACACTTCTATGTAAATTAGTAAGCGGAAGGAGAGGGGGCGGGGCATATCATATGGGCGTGGCTTGAATAGCTGAACACAGATACATCAACAAACCGGACGATTTAAAAAAAAACATGCACAAGTTGGTTGGTATGTGTGTTTTTACAAGTCATGAAAGCACAACTGCGCTATTTCCACTGCCAACATGTACTATTTTTATCTCAACTTTTATAGGTGAATTTCATGTTTTTTTTTAAATCACAGCTATGGTCTTTTAAAAATATTTTGCTGTTCGGGTATGAATCTATTGCAGAAGGCTGTCTACAAAGTATGGCTGCCTTTGGGTAACAAGTCTCTGCATGCGCGGAGCAAACAGAGGGCTTTGAGAGTCTGTAGCGGGGAATGTGGAGGGGACAACAGCTTGGCACATGACAACGAGAGATATGTGTGTGTGAGGGGAAGCAGGCAGGGAGGAGATGTTGTGGAAGAGTCCTTTAGCTCTGTGCCGTTAACCTTTGCTCTGTGAGAGAGGCCTGGTGTGCCACCGTCTTGTTCTCATGTGAGCGCAGACTGGAGACCACGTCGATGAAGGCCAAGCTCTGCACTTCTTTATGCAGCGGCTCTGAGGTGAGAGGAGAAAACGCACAAATTCAGTCATTCAAATGGAGAGTGTAGTTTGGCACATCAAACAGCATTCACAACTCACTTCAGTAATGTCAAACAGGATATTAAAGGGATACTCCACCCCAAAATGAAAATTTTGTCATTAATCACTTACCCCCATGTCATTCCAAACCTGTAAAAGCTTCGTTCGTCTTGAACGAAAACCGGGAGGCTTGTGACTGTCCCATTGACTGCCAAGTAAATTACACTGCCAAGGTCCAGAAAAGCATGAAAGACATCGTCAGAATAGTCCATCTGCCATCAGTGGTTCAACCGTAACATTATGAAGTGATGAGAATACTTTTTGTACGCGAAGAAAACAAAAATAACAACTTTATTCAACAATTCGTCTCCTCTGTGTCTCTCTGCATCACCGTAGCGCCATTTTGGAGAATATGCGCTGAACGCAAGCAGCGTACGCTCTTCTGTGTCAGCCGCGCCACATGGATACGTTTTCTACGTGTATTTACTCTTTGATTTGAATGAAAACAGCGCATCCGTGCAGCGCGGCTGACACAGAATAGCGTACGCTGCTTGCGTTCAGTGGTTATTCTCCAAAATGGCGCTACGGTGATGCGAATTGTTGAATAAAGTCGTTATTTTTATACAAAGAGTATTCTCGTCGCTTCATAACGTTACGGTTGAACCACTGATGGCAGATGGACTATTCTGATGATGTCTTTCATACTTTTCTGGACCTTGACAGTGTAATTTACTTGGCAGTCAATGGGACAGTCACAAGCCTCCCAGTTTTCATCCAAAACATCTTAAATTGTGTTCCGAAGACGAACGAAGCTTTTACGGGTTTGGAACGACATGGGGTAAGTGATTAATGACAAAATTTTCATTTTGGGGTGGAGTATCCCTTTAAACTAGTAAATGATAAAGAAGTTATAAAAATATAACATTATGAAGAAAACATTGTAAAAAATTGGAATAAGGTAGGGATGAATTGTTCACAATAAGACTAGGAATGTGCGTTATGAAAGTAAATCGTTTTCTAAAATGTCACCATCTAAATGGTCTAGGAGCAATTTTCACTCAAAAATTGTTAGTACACTTACGATTAATGAAAAAGAAACGGCAAATAAAACACTGAATTGCAATGATATTTTGAAGCAGAATGACTGAAATAGTATTTTCTTGTAAAACAAACTCCAATAATCTTAATTGCATTGTTTTATTTACAGCTTAATGCGTGTATTGCATTTTTTTTAACCTTGTGATTTTTAAATATGTAACATGTTTAAGATGCAAGTTTTTGGCTTTTAATGTTTTTATTTGGCTTTAATTTATTTCAGCTAATTGCTAAAGCAATTTAAATTTTTTGTTTAATATTTTCATTTAATATTTGTGATTAAATGATTTGTGGTTCCCTGGATTTGTGGTACAGTCTTAAGTGTCAATTTTTCGAAATTGAGATTTATACATCATCTGAAAGCTGATATCAATAAGCTTTCCATTGACGTATGGTTTGTTAGGATCGGACAATATTTGGTCGAGATACAACTATTTGAAAATCTGGAATCTGAGGGTCCAAAAAAATTAAAATATTGAGAAAATCATCTTTAAAGTTGTCCAAATGAAGTTCTTAGCAATGCATATTACTAATCAAAAATTAAGTTTTGATATATTTACGGTAGGAAATTTACAAAATATGTTCATGGAACATGATCTTTACTTAATATCCTAATGATTTTTGGCATAAAAGAAAAATCAATAATTTTGACCCATACAATGTATTGTTGGCTATTGCTACAAATATACCCCAGCGACTTAAGACTGCTTTTGTGCTCCAGGGTCACATTTATATTTTATTTCAGCTTTATTTCAGTCAATCATAATGATTTTTAATAGTTTCCAGTTTTAGTTAACAATAACAACACTGGTTTAGAGAGTATAATTACAGGCTTTTTGTTCAATAGTTTCCCACACTTGTGAATGCGTTAAAGGATTTGTTTCTGTGATCTCTTGACTCACCTGATCCCATGACGGAGCAGATGAGAATCATGGAGTTGTATTTAATCTCCGGTGCACTGTGTTCATCTGTCAGCAGTTTGTGTAGAACCTGCACCAGATTAGCGCTGACAAAGTCCTTCTCTGTGGAATCTGAAATCAAAACCATGAAGTGACTCAGTTAAAAGTTCAGAATAACTTAAACAAATGCACTTCTTCTGCATTTCTCCTCTAACTTGTTTCCTAATCTAGTTTTTTTAAAAGCCTAGCATTGTGTGTTATGAATATTGTTGGCTCTTTGATGAACTGGTTTTGTTTCTCTTTTGCAAGATGCTTTGGAAAAAACATCTGCTAAATGCATAAATGTAAAAATGATGTCACTAAAGGCTTAAATTATTGAAATCAATTTTGTAAGACAAATACAAATTGTGCATATATATACTTATCTTTACAAAACAACAATATGTGACCCTGGAGCACAAAAGCAGTCTTAAGTCGCTGGGGTATATTTGTAGCAATAGCCAACAATACATTGTATGGGTCAAAATTATTGATTTTTCTTTTATGCCAAAAATCATTAGGATATTAAGTAAAGATCATGTTCCATGAAGATATTTTGTAAATTTCCTACCGTAAATATATTAAAACTTAATTTCTGATTAGTAACATGCATTGCTAAGAACTTCATTTGGACAACTTTAAATATGATTTTCTCAATATTTAGATTTTTTTGCACCCTCAGATTCCAAATTTTCAAATAGTTGCATCTCAGCCAAATATTGTCCGAACCTAACAAACCATACAACAATGGAGAGCTTATTTATTCAGCTTTCAGATGACGTATCAATCTCAATTTCGAAAAATTGACCCTTATGATCCAGGGTCACATATATAAATATATAAAGCACAATGAAATTACTACAATTTTAAATGAACTAAAACTAAAATGAAAACTATATAAGCAATACTAACATTACTTCATATAAGTATGTAAGATACTTTATGTAAAGTATACAAGTAACACTGAAATCAGGTCTGTCAGCATCTCATTAAAAATAAATGTAGGGTTAATTCAGGATAATTGGGGCATATTTTCCCAGTCATTTCAATGGCAAAAAGTGCCACAGTTTACCTGAATTCACCCTAACATACAGTAGTCTTTGATTTTTACCCAGGTCTAGTGCCGCTACGAGACCCAAGGCCACCAGCGCTTCATTCTGCATGATCATGTGTTCACTCGTCGCCATGGTTACCAAGTGCTTAATACCTCCACCTTGTATAACTGTTCGGACCACATTCTATTCAGAAAGAAAACAGCAGTCAGACGCTTCCAGAGGACGTGAATCTGCCATGGAAAAATCATCCACAGCATGAAACGACAAAATCAGAACATGCATTCACAAAACAAAAAACAAAGATTAAATAAAACAAAGACTACTGGAGTTCGCTTTACAAGAAAATATTCTTGCATACTATTCTTGTAACTACTTCAGTCTTTCTACTTTAAAACTTCACGTTTAATTCAACAAAAGGTTTACATGGTACGGATGGGATTTTTTACTCGCACAGTATTTGATGACGCACGTCTAGTCAAAGCGCTGCACCATCACTAAAGCATCACTGAAATGAGTAAGACCCTATGAAATCTGTTGTTTTATTGTTTATTTGTTTAACCAAATTCTGTTTTATTTTTTTTTTCCAAATTCTGTTTTTTTTCTGGATTTAATTTTTTTGCATTTTCTTGATTTGATTTTAAATAAAATGCTAGTAATCAAAAAGCATGTTTAATTAATTGTAATCATAAAAATAACCATTTATTTATTTACTTACAATTATAGGGCTCCATGATTTATTTATTTTTTTTAATTCATAAAATGTTAATTTATCTTTTAAACTAAAATTAAGCAAACCTTTTTATTTTTTTTTTGTCAAAGTGCTGCACAACAGAGTTAAAATTAAAACATGGATGAAACATTGTGTGGTTATTCCTTAAAAAAACAAGTTTTGATAACAACTAATAACATTATTATGATTATTATTATTACTATTATTATATTGAGACGTATATTCTAATGTACAATAGTAATATATTCCATTTCTTCGAAAGTTAAACCGAACTTTTATTTTGATAGGTTGCCATGAAGACCTTTAAGCTTCTGTGTGTATGTGATATGAAGACAGACTTTCTGAAATGAAACTGTGAAATGCTCATGACTCTCAGAGCAGCTCTGGAGATGAAGTTCATGTGCTCATATTGTGAGTCGGCAGACACTGAAAAGCACGAGCGTCACAAATGCTTCCGTATGTGTGCAGTAGACAAAACCATGACAGTTCATTCATGCAGAACATGCAGGACTCCTATATAAATAGTCTTTTTGCGGTTTAATATTCACAGACATTAGTCCATATCATGAACTGATTTAAGTGCGCTGACAAATTCCATGCCATTCTGTGTTATACAGTAAATTCCATTTTTATGACAATGTTTCCGTCCGTGTTTTCTGCATCACAGAAACCATAGGGCCCTAAATGAGAGAAGTGCTAGAGTGTGAGACCTTTGACTTGCTGTGTCGGATGAGAGCGGACAGCAGGCGGTTGGACTCTCCCATCACTCCGGCGTGGTCTTTCGCTTCACACCACTCCACCAAGCGCTCCACCAGCTTTGAGTTTGTCCCCAGCTGCTCTGCTGCGTCAGCTGCGACACACACACACACACACACACACACAGCGATAAACATAACCTACTGAACACAAACCACCATAGAGCACATGCTACAACACACACACATATATATATATATATATATATCAAATATAAGACATGCTTTCAATGAGGACCAACAACATTTTTCAGCAAAAATATAGATGTCTCCAGTTAACATTCAAAAATCACACATCTTAGGATAGGACAGCTCAAGTAATCAGAAGAAAAGAAATTAGGCTTAGTGCAATTATCAAATCGTAAAGTCTGAGGTTTAATTAAATAAATATATGCACAACATGTTTCAGAGCGAAGCATGGCACTGAGTTTATTAACGCATAAACTCACAAACCCATGTTTTCAGTATCTCAAAATTCTCTCTTCTTAATCTGGAATTCTTTTCCTGTTAATCTCCCCAAATTTGGAATGAAAAGCACTTATAAACTGGCTGTTGTCAACAAAAGAAAATCTTTAAGGTCTCCCTGTGGTTTTCTACCAAAAGAATAAAAGCTTGTAGGTTTATCGTTTGAAAATTAAGAAAGCCATAAATATCGGTATTGTAAGTGTGCTGTAAAATAAATTATATTATTTTTCTATTTTTAAATATAGTTGAATATTACAGCAGTTGTAATAATTTTGTTTAATGTTATTAAACAAAAATAATTTAGTTTCATACGTAATATTTTAGACTTAAACGAAATTTAAATAGCAAACACGATTTTTAATCAGATAAATCGCAATTAGATTTTTTCCCCCGAATAGTGAATTAGGAATTGCTATTTTAGTAAGTGCTGCTTTGCAACTTTAATACTTCATGTACAGTAGCTACATGAAGATCCTTCATGGCACATTCCTCTTAAAGGCATATTTTGGCGTTAAATGTAACATAATAAAAAAAATGCTTATACGGTACTGCTCTTCATGGAGGCCAGACAGACCAGTGTTCTGGAGCGTTTAAAAAACTAAATGTGAAGCTCATATTTTTGTTAAAGCTCTTCCATGAAGTCTTTTGGGGAAAATGTGTTATGTATGAGCTGTAAAATGAACCCGATTGTAAAACTTTTCCTATTATACTGTGCACTACCAGTCAAAAGTTCGGGGTCGGTAAGATTTTTGAATGTTTTTGAAAGAAGACTCTTATGCTCACCACGGCTGGACAGAAATACTGTAAAAACAATCATATTGTGAAATATTATTGCAATTTAAAAGAAATGCATTCTATTGTAATATACTTTAAAATGTAATTTATTCCTGTGATGCAAAGCTGAATTTTAAACAGCCCTTACACCAGTCTTCAGCATCACATGATCCTTCAGAAATCATTCTAATATGCTGATTGAACACCAAACTTTTAGTAGTGTACTTTCTAAACACTGTAAAAGATGCATATTTCTGTTAGGCGTTCATTGCTGTACACACATATTTCAGTTGTTGTTTTTTTTACACTCTCTTGAGATGGGTTGAAATTATTTTCTGTGGTAATTGACAGACTGTCACAGATGCTGTCGATACAGCTTAAGTTGTATTTACCCTGGAATATTCGTTTTAAACCCAAGCTGTCACTGAATGCTAACACGGCTGGGCCACTGCCAATAAAAGACAATGCAAATTCGTCCGTGGCGGAGCCCTTGTCTGCAGATCCATAGTTACTAAATGACAGAGTGCCATCGATCCTCCACTCACTTAATATCAGAGACTGACTGCTGTGCGGCAGCAGCTGGGACAGGCCTGAACCTGAGATAAAATCACACATGCTGTCTTTGACTGAGCTAAACAGCTGTAAAACATACAGGGACTTGTAAGCTTATTAACTTCAATTAAAAATCCATGGAATCAAGAACTGTGTTTTGTGGCTTTTAGCTCATGTTTGTTTGTGGTCATCGGCATGCTACATTTTAGCAGGCATACACATTTGAAGCTCCAATGAAATCAGTGTTATTTTAATCTTTTATTTAAATACTTCATGAATGATTGTGAATTAGCTTTTATTTTTATACTTTCAGTGGTCAGTTTAATTTTAGTTTAATTTTTAGTAATTTTGTGATGCGTTTTTGTCATTTTTATTAGTTTTATTAGTATTAGTAAATAATAAAGTAATTAATATAAAAAACAATATAAAATATAAATAATATAATATTCATACTTGTTTAAAGGGCACCTATTATGCAAAATCCACTTTTACATGGTGTTTGGATAAATGCGTGTTGGCAGTGTGTGAAACAACAGTTTTAACCGTATTTGTGTGCGTACATGAAGTATTTTTTTAACTGATTAGCGCAGAGCTTGTGAGATTAGTTCGCGCCGTTCGTAGCGCGAGATTCGTTCGGTAGCGCGGTCGTGCGGCTCGGTCAATTCATCCACGCCGATGACAGGTCAGCGCGGCGTGAGCTCTGTAACACTGAGCTGTTTCGTCCCACTTTCAGCGCATTTGGCTTCCCATATGTACGGCTAAACACCGGTTCTTTCGCCCTCAGTCATGTTGCTTCTACCGGCTGTTTATTGCTGTAGATATGCAGATATGGGCGGGAATATGCAGCTCATTTGCATTTAAAGTGATACACACCAAAACAGCTCTTTTTTAGACACACCCCAAAAAAGATATTTTCCAGATGTTATATTAAATTATCTGTTGGGTATTTTGGGCTGAAACTTCACAGACACAAGACCAATAGTAATAGTAATAGAACAAAAGTAATAAATATAAGTATATATAAGTGAGTAATAGAAAAAATAATAGAAAATATAAATAACATACACTACTAAAATATCCATACTTATCTAATGAAAATAAACAAGTATGAATATCCATATTTTACAAAAATATTTTTTTTTTACAATTGAAAAAAAATCTCTTTCAGGAAAAAAGGACCAAAAAAAACTGATGACACAACCTGCACTCATGGGCGTGGCCAATTTTTGTCCAATTCTCTTTAGAATGGTATTGTCCCGCCCCCTAAAGAACTAAAGGGATTGCCTGTCCCAACTTACTGTTTCAAAAGGATATATGTTAATACAGGAAATCATAATTAATAATCAATAATACTTAATAAAAAAAATACAATAATCAAGTAGGTTTTTTTAATTGATATATAGTTCAAATTATAGGTAATTGTATAATTTTAACAAATTTTGTTTGAGCATCACAACCAGTCAGCACAGCAACACCAGCTCAACCAATGGCATGATTCTGGGGCTAAACTATCTGTAGATAGTCGTTTTGTTTTCAGTTAATTAATACCCTGTGTGTCGATGAGCATCCGTAACGTTCCCAGAAGCTTGAACTGGACTGGAGGCATCTCAGATTTGAGGAACTTCAGCACTACATCCGACACACCAGCCAAGAGCATCTTAGATTTGTTAACCACTGGAGAAGAGAGAAGAAGATGGAGCAGATTTAGTTTTAAGACACTCGTGCAAAGGTGAGTGAATTATTCAATGATTGAGTGAACTTTCAGACTGACCCGGGATGGCGAGGTTCCTCAGAGCGCTGAGGGCGGCATGCTGCACCGTCACGTTCCCCTCTTCAACATGTCTGTCTAACAGCTCGAGAAGCTTCTGTACGATACCAGTGTCTACCATGTGGATGCAGTTCCCATCTGTACACAAAAAAACACTTATTTACACTCTCAACAGAGTGATCGTCATGTTGCTGGACGGATCTCTAGTGTTGGGGGTAACGTATTACAAGTAATTAGAGTTACGTAATCAGATTACTTTTTTCAAGTAACTAGTAAAGTAACAAATTATTTTTTAATTTACAAAAAAATATCCGAATTACTTTTTCAAATAAGTAACACCAGTTACTTTGTTTTCTCATTTGTTGACGGACAGCTCTCCTGTCCCCATGTTGAGAGAAATCAAGTGCACTGTGTTAATATGATGCTTACTGTAACTCAATGTAGGGCTGTCAAAAAAAAAAAAAAAATTCCGAATATCCGTCGAATTTAAAATAAAAATCCACATTCAAATGCAAAATTATTGCATTCGAATTTTAGGTGTGTGTTAAGGAGGCAGCCTTATAGTGGCGCACGAGATGCGATGACGATGTAAGTGTCGTTGCATTATAATGTTTTTGTTAGCCTATCCAGTTGAAGCCACTAGATGTGGCGCTGCTGCGTTGTTCATAATGCGGAGAAGATCTTGTTTACGTCAAAACTGAAACCAAGCCGTTCACACAGAACGCATATTTTGCGCATTTTCCAGAGGGACATCTATCACCTTTGCACTCGCGTCTCGCACAAAGGAGCCACATGTTTAGAAAGCCATGTAAAATTAATGCAAGTTTAACTTTGAAAAAAACATATATAGAGACTTTATGGCAGTTTTTTTTTTTCACTATCCCACTGCCTCTTATGTTTTTAAATGAGAAATGTACTCTGTGTGATTGACGTTTTGCCATTTGTATTAAACTATGCATACATACATGATGCTGTTTTGTTTTTTAAGTACAAAATTAGAATTTAGTTTTTCAGCCATTTTGACAGCCCTAACTCATTGTGGACAAGCATTTACTAATCTCACTTGGAGAAAAACAGATTCAGTATTCCTAAAAATTAATAAAAAGAGTGAAATGCAAACTCAGAATATGATGTATACGGGAAATAATTAAATATGTTAAAAAGCACAAATATCCTTTATGTATTTAATCCCTATTTTATTAACCAATGTCTTTGCAGTTGACCTTTGATGATCCAATTTAACCATACGAATAAGCAAAAATGATTTTAGATAAACATACAGTTGTGCTCATAAGGTTACATAAACTTTAACATTACATTGCTCAAGAAGGCAACACAATGCATTAAGAGCCGGGGAATGTAAACTTTTGAACAGGATGATAATGTGTAAATTCTTCTCATTTTGTTTAACGATCATATTTTTTAATTTAGTACTGGACTTCAGAAGCTACATAAATACTTACATGTTTCCCAGAAGGCAAAATAAGTACAATTTACCCTGATCATCCCATTTAAAATGTCTCTTAATGCATTGTGTTGCCTTCTTGAGCATCAGTACATGTTTTCACCGTTTGTAATGGTTTTGTATGAGTCCCTCAATTGTCCTCAGTTTGAAAAGATGGATCTCAAAATCATACAGTCACTGTTGGAAAAGGTTCAAATATGGAGAAGATGCTGGAAAACTAAAGAATGTGCAGGAGCTGGGGGATTTTCCTGAAGAACAGCAGGCAGAACTGCTCAGGACCAACAAGGGACTCGTGAACAACTAACACAAAACATAAAAACAGTCGTGGATCATCCAGGAAATGACTCGTAGTATTAAGATTCAAGGGTGTGTAAACTTTTGAATGGGGTCATTTTTATAAATTCAGTTATTATTGTGTCTTGTGGAGCATATGTAAACATCTGTTATGTGAAATGGCTTATTCAGGACAGTACTAAATAAAAAATAACACTATTTTCATGATCCCTCTTATTTTGTTTCAATTATTAACATATTGCAAATTCTGCAAGGGGTACATAAACTTATGAGCACAACCATAACATTTGTGTGTCATTGTTTTTTTATTGCTGAAGAGTGTTGATTGTTCTTCTCCTGCGTCCTATTCTTCATGCAATCCAGAATGGCAGCACATCTGAAAGGTTTGTTTGAGCTGTGCCCTCTACTGTACAGATGTTATTTTACATTTTATTCAGCCTGAGGCTTATTCATTTCAAGTTTGGTGTGATATTTGCCACCAAATATATTTGCCATAAAATATAACTTTTTATATTAAAAACAAACAAGCAAGCTCCGCCCAGATGAGAAAAAGTAACGCAAAAGTAACTTAATGCATTACTTTCTATTAAAAGTAACTAAGTAATGCAATTCGTTACTTTTTAGGCAGTAACGTAATGCATTACTTTTAAAAGTAACCTTCCCTAACACTGCTGAAGTCTCACCATTGCGGGCAAAGTTAGCGATGGCGAGCGCTCCTGCTAGCTGGAGCTGGTGGTTGTTGGAGGGCACCCATGAAAGGACCCTCTGAAACACGCTGCCTTTGCCCCCCTCAAACAGCTTCTGCATCGACTCATCTACAGGAAAACACATCACACATGAGCAACAACACAAATACATTAATATGACAGAATGATGCAAATTACAAAGCCTTTAAGGCCGTTCACACTAAGTGCAATAACTATTATCGCTTAACTATCATTATATATTAACTATCATCCAAATCAAGAGATGATAACTTTCTGTTTATTATAAGCACATGCTGCAGTTTTGTCGTCTACCACTTTAAATGTTTGAGCTCTTGGAAGTCGAGTGGATTCTGACTGGCTGTTAATGATTTTATCATTCATCATGATATCAATGAACCAGCAAGGCAGGTTTTGGCTGTTTTATTCAGCAGAAAGCGCAGTGAACTTATGCCACACTACAAAAGGCAAAACGCATTAACTACACATTTTGTCCATTTTTAAGTTACGAGTGAAATCAGGTTTCTCAGAGTATGATCTGCCTAAATCAGATAGTTCAACTGTGCTCAGATTCAGAGAAAATGGAGTGTGAACATCTTCTGAAGCCCATTTAAGTAATTTTTTCTTCAATTCAGTTGCCTTTTCAGAGCATTATTACTAAAAAATTTGATATTGAACGGGAACCAGAAAGCACCCTGACTTCTCTCAAAAGAAGAGCTGAAAGAAATGTAAACTACAAACTAGACGATTATCAAGTTTGTAATGAAGGAACAAACTACTGTTCAAGTGTGAGGTCAGAAAGATTTTTTTAAATAAATTAAATTAATGCTTTTATTCACCAATGATCCATTAAATTGATTAAAAGCAACAGTAAATACATTTATAATGTTGCAAAAGATAATTTTGCTGTTGTTTTGAACTTTCTATTCATCAGAGAATCCTTAAAAGAAATATCATGGTTTCCACAAAAATATTAAGCTGCAAAACTGTTTTTAACATTGATAATATTCAGAATTGTTTCTTAAGCGTCAAATCAGCATATTATACTGATTTCTGAAGGATCATGTGACACTGAGACTGGAGTAGTGATGCTGAAAATTCAGCTTTGATCACAGGAATTTCAATTTAAAATATATTCATATAAAAAAGACTTCTTTTAAAATGTTATAATATTTCACCACTTTACTGTATTTTTGATCAAATAAGTGCAGCCTTGGTGAGCATAAAAAAACATTTTTAAAAATCTTACCCAACACAAACTTTTGAATTGAAGTGTAGGAATTATCCAACCTCCAGTATTCAGTACACTCAGTTAAAGTCATTTTAATGCCCCACAACTCTTTCAGCTAGTGTTTAATATTGATGACGTGAATACACATCAGCCACAAAAGCCTCACTTCAGCCTTTCCTTCTCCAGGTAAAAGGACGTGCATCCCTATTTAGCCGGTAATACGTTTATATAACTGCTGGGAGACTAAATGAAATGATGAACGTTCACAGGAATAGCACACTTCATTAATTAAACACACTGTATGTGTCATAGCTTGACACTATGTAATTGTTTTATAAGGCCCTGTTTGCTTTATTCACACAGAGGAAATGACATGTAACGTGCATTATTGTTGCATGCACCTATGTTTGTTCTTTCAAAGCTTTTATTTAAGGGTTGTTTGAGTTCTGTCAGAGGTTTGGTCCTGTACCTCCCAACAGCAGAAGGACCATGAGGTCTGAGGCCGTCTTGAGCTGAGCCACGTCCTCCTCCCTGTCGCTGTCCACCGTCTGAGCCACGACCTCCAGCAGACACTCCACCAGACCAGCATCCACCAGCTGAAGCTTGATCACATCTGAGACAGAGAGAGAGAGACAAGACGGATACTATCATATCTGAAGCTTTACAGCACACCTTCATGTCTAACAGGGATTTCACAACCCATATTAAAACCCTAGTGCTGCACATCAGAGTTTGAGTCGAGATCAGACACAGACCAATATCAGACAGCCAAACAAAACTCAACTGAACCACAGAAACTAAACCAAAACCTGCTGGTCCAAAACCAGACAGTAATGTTGGATTTAGACATGTGCCGGTATTTGGTAATGCGATATATCACGGTAATGAATATGCACAATATTGCTATTGTAGGCACTTCAAAATACCGAAATAAAGCAATAAGCCCCAAGAAGCCGTGGTACAGCTTTGAATGCGGCTCAGCCAATCAGAATCAAGGACCGGAACTCTCCGTTTTATAAGTTGGATTTAGACATGTGCCGGTACTCGGTAAAGCGATATATCACGGTAATTAGGCCTGACGCAAAAATCAATATATCGACTCATCGCGCAATATATGTACATGACCTCAATAATTTTTGGTGACGCAATATATCGCCCATTATATTTACCTAAACATTTATTTCAAAATGTTTTGTACATTACACTTGCGCCTGTGTCTTTTGCAGCTTCTCGTACATAACGTGGTGTAGTCATGAGGTGCTAGTTCAAATTTTAAAAAAAGTTTCATCTGAAGATATGGCCTTGTTTAGGGATCTGTGCCTTTGTGCACATCTGACTGCTAAATATTGCACTTTTTGTTAGAAAATGTTTATTTACTAGTAATTCAGATTTTTTAGTATCTAACATATTGATACTTCATTTCCATGATCTAAATATTCTTAAAAATTAAAAGTTTGTTGTCATTTGGAAGTGTGTAGGCCTTCTTGCATTATTAT